TCCATAAAATTGGTTCCGACAGAAACTTGCTTTTCTGCACCTTTTGAGAAGGGTGACTGCAAATTATTGTAACGTGCTAATTATTAAAATTAATAAGTAGCAGTACCGTAGACCTACAATTGTCACTTTTACATATATTATTTTTTCATTGTAGAGTTAATATTTATGTCATGCATAGGATGACTAAACCGATTTTGAAACAAAGCTAATACATTGGTCTATGTAAATCACGGAATACGGATAGCATCGTGTGTTTTGTGACCGGGACAAAAATATTTAGAACTAATCTAGTTCGTATTATACATACATAACCTCACGCTTGTCTTCCATGGACGTAGGTAGAGACTATAAAACGCCAATTGCTACGATGCTACGATTCTTATATATCTCTTTCGCTTTAAAAACAGTCATCAGTCTAATAAATCTAGTAAGTAGGTATACAGTTATTGCCGCGGAAGATTAAACAGATTGCCGGGGCTCCGACTCGAGGGGCAGGAGTAGGAATGGGGTGATTTCTAGTCAGTAAGAGTCTGACACTCCCTCTCGCCTCACCCGGGTGGGAGAAGTCATTGAATGATTTTTCCCCCTCAAAAAAAAATTAAAAAGATATACAGTTATTTCCTGTGATTGCCTCGTTGGCCAAGTGCTCGAAATGCGACAGCCGGGCAAGGGAACTCGGGTTCGATTTCCGGCTTGGGCAAAGTATTACTGGGTTTTAAAAAAATCTTAGTAGCAGCAGGGAGCTTGGAATTGTGCCCGGTATATGGCAATAGGCTCATCCTGTATTAAATATGACTCTGAACACAAAATTGTGAAAAGTGGGTGTTACATTTATACAGTGGTATTAAGTGCCGTAATGCCTACCCCTTAGGGGATAAAAGGCGTGATGTTATGATGACACTTTTTTCCCTTTGAACATAATTAATAATATCATCATCATCATTATCAACAGCCTATAAAGTGCCCACTGCTGAGCAAAGCCTCTTCTCACACGGAGAAGGTTTGAGCTTTAATCACCACGCTTGGTTTACTTGGCTTGGCTACGCTTTCTTGTAATTAATATCACCACTTTCCAATACGGTAGGTATAATAAAACGTAACAGAAAACTCGTCTCGATGACATAACTAACAATGTAATACAAGATCTAGCTCTGACTACCAAAACTTCTAGATGTAAGATAAAAGCAACAAGACGAGTTTTTATCCAATTTCCCCTCAAGTTAAACTTGGCCGCCCTACATACAAGCAATAATACAATTACCTAGCGCAAAACTAAGTTGCAAGTTAAATGTTCAAAGGCGGCAGATGGTAACTTAATACGCAATACGTTTCACTTAATTCGACCAACTTGGCTTCTCTCTGGATATTGCGTTTTTACTTTTTCGTTCGTAGGTGGGTAGGTGAGGAACTGTAGTCTTTATTTGTTTTGTTTTTTGGTGTAGATTTGTTTGGTGGATGCGGGTTATTCATTTTTATTTTGGTTCAAATGGGGATATAGTCTCATTTTTCAATAGGAATGTTAATGAACCGTGTATTGGAGGTGAAGCTATTATTGACTATTATTAGTTAAATGTGATGAGATTGAATATAATTTTAAAGAAAATTTAAAACTTTGCCTTCAAACCTGTGATACAGGGCTTTCCTAGGCATCTAACTGTGTAAGGTCTACATCGCTTATTAAGATAATATTTTGTATTTTGCTCATTTTATCATCAATAAAGATTATTATTATATTATTATTATTATATTACATACACACAAATTGACTGCACGGTTAGCGTGGTGGCTGGGCAACTGGCTGTCGCGCAACTTGTCGCGGATTCGATTCCCGCACGGAACAACTTTTTGTGTGATCCACAGATTGTTGTTCCGGTTCCGGGTCTGGGTGTCATGTGTATGTGAACTTATATGTTTGTTAACGCTCCCACGACACAGGGTAAAATCTTACTGTGGGGAAAAGTTAAAAAAAAAATACACAACACACAACCTTCTTCGAGACAATCGGATAAAACCAATCTCGTCGCAATAGTCTCGACTATTTCCGCTGTAACATTTTTTCAGGCCTACATCTTTCCTGAACATTAATCCGATACGCTATTTAATCTAGTTTATTTCATTCAGATAGTTCGTGGCATATTTCTAACGCCCACTGACACAGAGCTAAATGTCCAGATGTTCTCGAAATTGGCATGTCCGGATAACACAGTTTGTAAAAATAATGTAATTTAAATGTTATTTTGGCATCACGTCTCAAGTGTATTAGAACTTTCATATATCGCTTGGTAAAATAATACTAGTTTCTGTCACCGACTTGGCCCACATTTCTGTAGGATAAAAAGTAGCCTATGTGTTCTTCCAGACCATAATCTACCCTTGTCTCAAATTTCATCTGGATCCCTTCAGCCGTTTTGACGTAAAGGAGTAACAAACCAACATGAAAATTTTCGTATTTATAATAGGTATTAGTAGGTTATTTGACTAGGTCATTTGATAAATGAGCTAGTCAAAACAAATTTTTAACATAACATAACATCTCGCTTTTTATCCCCGAAA